TCCCCCTGCCTCAGACTCCCAAGTGTTGGGATTACAGGTGTGTGCCACCATGCACAGACCACATTGAATTTATCCCTCTACTTTAAGAGATGAAAAAGTCCAGGAGAAAGAGAATTATCAGGCCTTCCTGAAACTCACCTTAGTAATGGACAATAGCTTGGCAAATAATACTGCTTTACAGTAAAATAATACGATGGACCCTTATATGCTCAACATCCCCCTTTGAAAATCTGTAAATACTTTTGACATCTTGTCTGAGATAGAAAATAAATTTTTAGTGTCAGAAGAACAAGGAGAAAAAGGAGACCCACCATTCACCCAACTACAAGTGCAGAATTTATTTACTGGCAATGTGACTATACTTCTGAATGGGACCTTTTAAATATCACCTGAGTGGTTCTTAGCCCTCAACAAGTGATATTCTAGTGTTGACTCCACAATCTCCAAGGTCATCAAAATCATCACCAACCCTGCAGGAAGCTTTGCACACGACACTGCCTGAGGACTCGCGAGTCAGCAGCTACCCAGGCAGGGTCCAGCACAGCCCAGATGAGACCACAGAGCAGGTCTGACACTAACCCACCTTACTTCATGCTGAAACGCTTATCTCTAGCAGCAGTGTCACAACTAAGCTGACCAACAGCTGTTTATGTCTCTTGTAAATCATACACGTGCCTCAGTTTTGCCTTCCCCAACATCTTTACAGACAATCAAATTCTTAATGGAAATGTATCTTGTTCTCAAGATCCTTCTGACATTAAATACTTCACAGAAGCGCTTATACTTGCTAATATCGAGGGGAATTTAACAAATTATTCCAAATATCTATAACATTAAAAATGTTCTTGCCTATGTGACTGTAATAATGCAGTGCCCCCCCCCATGAGGCATGTTTTCAAGACAGTTAAATGGGACAGAGAGCATTTACAGTGAGGGAAGCCACTGAAATTCTGTGGTTCTAGATTTCAAGGGACAAATCAGGAAAAGAGACTGCAGGTCATACATCAGTCTTGGAAGGGCCTGAGATTAAGCCACTGCTACTGGGAGGGAGCAAGAGGTGAGTGCTCTGGGAAGGGAGACTGGGCCCCGTGAAGCGCATGGGGCTGAGTGACCTGGAGCCACGTGGGCTCACTGTATGCCCAACACACAAAACACTCTGCTCTCTGTTCTCAAATACAAATATCTTAACAATATTCTTTCTACTGATCAGGGTCCAAACTGCTGATGGCTTTTTGAGTTTGGTTAAGGTAGTCGTACATGTTACCTTATGTGGACCTATCTCAGTTAAGATCGGCTGTTGGGAGCTGTGGGTTAGGACGTCCTACTCCATTCTCTCTCTCCTTCCCTTCTGCCTTCACTCATTATCCACAAAGTTTTGAACATCTGCCCACTGGCAGATTCTGGGGCACAGCACCGGTGTGTCTCAAAGACAGTTCACATTTGGGGTCTAAAGCATGGGCTCCAGAGCTCTGCTGCCACTTCTGAGCTGTGTGACCCGCGCCTCTGAGTCATGGATTCTGCGACGGTAGACTGGGATGTGAGCAACTACACTAGAAGGATGCTGTGGGGATCAAATGGGCTCAGGATCTTAACACACTTAGGCTTGGCACACAGGAAGTGTGTGAGAAACATCAGCTACTCCCATTGAGAGTTACAGGGATGGTGAGAAGACATAATGCTGCGGTCTCTTCCTTTCTTTATGTCAGTTTTTAAGATAACGTCATGCCTTCCCTGTGTACTCTAAAGTCACTCACGTCACATGCCCGTCCATACATTTCCATCCTTGCTCTTCACAGGGTCTGAAAATCCATAACTAGCTAGAGACTTGCAGCCTGGAATGGCTTATCTGTGTACCTGGATTAGGTGTTGACAATAACTTGCTAAGACTTTGGCATGAGAGTACTTAAGTGGCAACTTAAAAAGCACTTAGGTACTTGTGAATCAAGTTGCCCTGTCTTGAAGAGCTCCCAGGGTCACGTCCCCAGTCCTCTGGGAGCAACCAGGCACATTACGTTGTCACTTAGAAGGTATGGATCTTCAGTAACGACAGCCGCGATTAGTTTCCTCCTCCCTGTAGGATCTAACGTGCCTTATGTGGTGATGCAGTAATTTATTTAGAAAGAATCTACAACCACAATCCTTGTATGGGGTCCGTCCCTCTAATTTCAGGCTTTATGTACCTTGAGACACAGCTAATGGAGTAACGGCCAACACTTGTTACGTAAATGTGTGTGGAGGAATTTAACGAGTGTCTTAACTGAATAAATATCAGTCATTCTGCTTTTCCATACATGATTTTGGTGGACTGCTTATTTATTATACATTAGCACCTTGCTTTTTTTTAAGTTCATACAATCCTTTTGATATTCTACAACCACTTGTAATTGTTTTTAAGTAAACTATTGAATGACTGCTGAGAAAAGTATTTTCAAATGGTTCCACAGAGTTTCTTGGATTCTGTATAACAAGAACCATTCTCCTTGTATTATTTTGCAAGTTTATTGTCACTGATAACAAATAACCTAATCATACCTTTTAGTGTCACTGTAAGCTGTGCATTGTTTTTTGATTTCAGGCCAAAGAATACTTCTATCCTTATTACATTTTAAAATGACAGTTAATGGGGAGCAAACACAATCTTAAGGTAAAACTCACTGCTTGATGAGAGACAAAAAAATAGGCAACACAAAATAAATTAGTTCTTGGAGAACTAGAAAGTAGAATCTTCTGAAAAGTTTTATGAAACGAAATAAGTGCTACAGCATATAAGAGACATATCAGGCTCTTACAGCGGCAATGACAAAAATACTCTCTGAGGGGCAGAGGGCTGCTGGGGCAGGAGGCCTAAGAATGAAGTCCGGGAGCCAGAGGAACTGTTCTCCGGCGGAGAGAGCAGGTGGGGTATCACGTCCCCAACACTGGAGTAGTCCTCAAACTCCTCATGATTTTCTTCCCTGCCACACTGCTTGTCTCTCCTCATGCAGAACTAAAAGCCAGAGGTGAACAGAGATTAATAAGGGAACCGGAGATCGAGGGCAGAAGCAAACTGGATAGCACAAGGAGGCGGGGAAACAAAATAAAAATGGAGCCGAGCCTGAAAGACTTACAGTTTATCCCAGCTGTGCCACAAAAAGGCAACTTATGGGAAATTTATCTAACTCTCTCTAATCCTTCATTTTTTCATTTCTAAAATGGGATAACAAGGCTTTGGCACAGTGTTATGGTGATGGTTAAAAGATACTGAGTACATAGAGCACTTAGTACACAGTTCCTCAATATGAACATTCCCTTTTGCCTTGTTCACTTTAAAACTTAGCCTAAGTATGTTCTTTGACATTAAGGATATCTCTTATTTATCTTTGCTTTTTCTGGACTACAGGAGGTGCTTTATTAATTTTTTGGAATTAATGGCTCACTCAGACTATAACTCTTTTCTCAAATAGTGAAAGATTAGATTACAATTCTAGGTGGATATTGCAGAGTCCAAAAAGTAAGGGACCAAAGTAACATTCCCTCGCCAAACATCTACATGAGGTAAGCATAAAGCAATTCTTATATACATATATATCCCTAGCCACCAAGAGCTTCCCTTCTCTACTTATCACAACACATATGCCAATGATGTAAAGGATGTGGGTGAAAGGCTTTGGCTTTTTGCTTTCCTTTCACTTACTATTGCAGGAAATGTACTATTTTTTAAACCTTTAAAGTCTTATTTTAAACTGCTCAATCAAGACCCAAGAGATTAAAAGGGCAGTGTTCAATGGATTATACACTTACAATGAACTTTTCTAACAATATCATCCACACACTGGTCCTGAAATATTTCAAGTTGCTAAGTTTCCACCTCTGTAGTGTCACCAAGCACCCTTTCCTGTAAAGCCTACTGTACAACCACGGCACACACTTCTACATACCCCTTTTCCCGCCCTAAAACACTGCCTTTATGGGACAGGAGGATGTGCATCCAGGTGGGCCTCTGTCACAACGCTGGTCACCTAGAAGCTATAAAAGCTTGGAGGGGGCAGTTGCACCCTGAGGAGGGTACTGGTGAAGGCACGGGGCATACCAACAGAACTGGAGTTCCCCAGGTGTAATTTTTACACAATTTTTAAGGTCTTTAAAAAAATCTAACCCCACAGCAGTTAAAGAAGCTAACTGGTAAACTCTGAAGTTCAAATCTGCTAAAATTTAGGTGGAAGCAAGTGACTTTTTGATACTTAAGACTTACTCTCCTTAGTCGACCTCCCAGAAAAACTTGCCAGCTTTTTAAAAATTCTACAAGGATCCATCCTCAAAGTGGATTAACTTTTGACTACCATTAGTCCATTGTATTAGGCAAATGTGCTCTTGATGACAGAGATTCTCAGTATGAATATTCAGTCTCCTCTGCACTGGACAGGAGTAAGTGCATGGAGAACCCTTCTCCCAGGGTGAAGGAAATGAACTGGAATAGCAGCAAGGAAGAAAAAAGGGTCCAGGATGCCTAGGCTTCTCGCCACTGAACAGGCAGAAGAAATCTCTCAATGCCATGGCCATGATGGGACTAGACGGAGGAACGGCACACACAGCGGGGCATTCGGCAGTGCAGCTGCCTCTGACGGCTCTGTTCTTGTTCCTAGCCATCAAAACCCTGGGTTGTGGAAGCATCACAAGTTGAGCAAGCCATTTCTTAGCCATGAATCTTACTTTCAATTTTATATTTTGTGTTGACCTTTGAATGTTAATTAGGCTAGCAGTGAAATGAATTAAAATGTATATCTCCTCATAGTGTATTCAGATAAGCATATGGGTAAAATAAAAACCACACTATCCTCATATTAAATTTGCAACATTTCCCACAAATGATGAGTCTGAGATGTGTAATAAATTCATCTGCAACCAGTAACAGCGTGAAGTGGACATTATGTCTGAGTAAATAAAAAAACAAATAAGAACACACTGGTAGAAACTGCTCAGGCAGGAGATTCTGCCAGACTCATCAGAACCACCAGGCTCACCTTCACACACGGGGCAACACTCCCCGGGCACCTTCACAGGGTGCATGCAGCTCTGCCCACAGGCTGTGGCCACGCAGTGGGGCTCTCCGCTGAGGCACTGGCAGAATGTGCAGTCGTCCTCCCGCCACCGGTCTCCATGGGCACGGATCTGGCCACTGGCGTAGCAGCCCGCAGGATTGTTAAAAGGATACACCGGATCTAAATCAAAACACAAGCTCAGAGTCAGACTGAGCACATTCCAAACCTCATTTCTGCCTACATCTAGAGACATTTCTGCCCAAGTTTTATTCACCAATGGTTCTAGTCCACCTGTGATCAACAAAAGCTGGGAGGGGCACGAGGGGTTCCCAAGGTGCATGCAAGCACAGCCACCATATTCAATTTATCTTTTCTCCTCCTGATACTCATCAGTGAGGAGAAGCTGCAGTTTGAAACCAATGTGCAGCTGTTAAAGCAGCATTATGGCCTGTAAGCCTGGGACTCTGGGAGGCTGAGGCAGGAGGATCACAAGTATGAGCCCAGCCTGGCCAACTTGGTGAGACTTCATCTCAAAATAAAACATACACAAAGAGCTGGGGATGTAGCTTAGTGTGAACATCCCAGGTGTGTTCCCTAGCATCATGCATTCACACAGAGACACACACACACACACACACACACACACACAGACACACACAGAAAGCTGTGAGGCTTTATGGATAGAGCTATGGGTACCTGGATCCATTCGGGGTTGTGACAATGTCTTCCGAGTGGGTAACTGTCAAACCTCTGTTTTACCACTCGTAGGTGGAAATAATATTGTACCACCGAGCCCACTGTCTGTGCTGGTACTTCTAGCACTAACTGATTCTCAGACCTGTGGGTCCATGTAGACAACGGGGCAGAGCAGGGCCTTCCTACAGCCTTGCACATGACAAAGCTGGTTTAGACATTCTCTGGGTCACAGCTGTTGCCCTGGAGGGAGGCTGTGAACTTAGGTCATTTTTCCTCCCATAAACTGGGCAGCTATGTACTAGGCAAGGCTGGGGGACAAAATTATCCAAAGCTACTAAAAAAAATATTATCTGAACCAATGGATAAAAATGTAAATACTGGTTACAAAATCCCCAAGTATCCCTATAGTGAGAACAATCAGATAAATTACTCCATTTTCTTTCACGAAATACATAAAACTGGCTTCTACCAAACAGTCACTGCTGTGCAGGGAGGAGAATCCAGAGTTATAGACAGTTTGGTCTTTAAGGAGGTCAGAAGGCATTATAAGAAAAACTAGAAGGTCAAAATTTAAAATAAGGCAATTGCAGCTTTAGAGGGGTAGTTTGCCAGATGGAAGTAGCCAAAAGACCTGAGCTAGAAAGGACTTATAAATTTTTTCATGAAAAGATGTTACAGTATACACTTTACTTCTGCTTGGGGCCTGAATCTTAATTCCAAAATCTGAAACATAACCAGGTCCATGCCCAGGTAACTCACTATGATTATCACACACAGAATTCTATCTACATTTCTCTACCGCCAACTACTGTATAGTTTTAGATGTTATTATAAACTAGCAGCACAGCTAGAGAACAAATCAACTGGAAAGGTTAAAAGTTTGATGTGTTTTTTAAAAAAAATCTCTGATGACACCTAAAAAGTGAACTACTTTTCTCCTATGTTGGCTAAATATTTTTTTAATAAGGAAAAAGACTCATTATTATGAACAATTGTTCACTGTGAGGAGGTAGTTTCCATACTTTAAACATTTCAGGTCTTTAATATCATGCGGCAAATACAGCTCACACATTAACAGGATTTAGGAGAACTGAAAAACATATAGAGCCTGAAATGATACTGCGTCTCCTGCTTGTAGGCAGAGATTAGGTACAAGAAGTGGGACTGAAGACCTGTGACAAAAAGGCTGACATTATCGACCTTAGCAGGGAAGCAGTGTCGTGTGGTCAGAAGGAAACCATAGGCTCATTTGGAAGTTCTGTTTCCTAATCCCTAAAATGGGCAGGCTGCAGTGGATGATATTCAGAGAATCACTCTGAAATGCTTATTATTATGTTTTGCTGTTGTTGTTGTTTTTTGAGACATACATAGTTGAGAGTGACCTGGAACTCACTATGTAGCCCAGGCTGGTCTTGAACTCACAGCGATCCTCCTGCCTCAGCCTCCTGAGTGCTGGGATTACAGGCGTGCACCACCACGCCTGGCAGCAATGTTTATTATTTATGACTACAGAATTGGGAAGAAGAGTGTTCTGGAGTAATGTGAGAAGAATACTTCTTGGAGAGAAGCAGGCAATGTAGATAAAACAGGTCCATGAGAGTTAAATCTGATGCCCTGGACCATATCTGACATCTGGTTGGGCCAAAAACTGACGTCACTGTCTCACTACCCTGCAATCCCACACTCACCACCACAGGATTTCAGAGCAGCAGCAGCATGGTTCTGATCCACCTAGACTCAGGTGAGGTGGCCATCACTAAAGAGGGGAGGTTGGTTCCTCTCTCAGCTGGCTGGCTGAGAATGTCAGTGACCAGTGCCCCCCTACCCTACTCCTGAGTAATCTGGGGAGAACAGGCGAGGATTTACATGCCGGACAGAAGCAAAGGTTTGCCCAGGACTTGCTAAGGAACTGCTGGAATGGCAGCAGAGAAACAGAACCGAAGAGAATTCTGTGAAGCCTCATGCAGAGTTGTGCAAATAGGTGACTTAACTGTCAACATGCAAAGCGTAGCAGCTTCCCGAAGGGAAGAATTCTCACATGCTCTACCTGGCATTACTAACATCCTGAGAGACAGACAAAGATGTCACTAAGAAGATACCTCAATATTCCTCTACTTTTGAATGATACTGAATGAGGGCCATCTTGATAGTAAAAGTTCTGAGCCACGTATACTCATCTGCACCTGCACTGGGCACCTTCTCCTACCTTCACAAACAGGGCAGCACTCCCCTTCAGGCACGTAGTATCTCTCACAGCTCAGCTCCCCACACTGGGCAGTGAAGCAGATGGAAACACCCCCTTGGCACCGGCAGAACCGACAGTTGTCCATTCGAAACATGTCTCCGTCGTGGTACTCCACATTGCTGAATACGCAGGCCGGCTTTGTTTCTGAAAGGGGTTCAACAGGGCATATCTGAAGTCATTTTTGAGGGGTATCCTTTTATGCTTTTCCAACAGCTTCTAGAAAATTCTGTCAGATAGCAGAAGTTACAATTTAATGGAACTTTACTAACCTTAGTCTAATTTCATCACAGAAGCAAAAAAGCGAAGTAAAATAAAATAAACAGAACACTGTTATTCTGTTTATAGGATGGAACTGAAATTTCTTTTAGCAAAATCTATAATGACTTCCTTTTACCCCAAATAAACTTTATGACCATGAACCTCACATATCTGGTATATGCTATAAAGACATTAAATTTGTTTTGTTAAATCATTCTCTACGCCTCAAATGATCCTGTTTCCACGTTCACATTTGGTTTTGACCCACAAAATATAGTTTGTTCTTTTGGGTAGTGAGAGTTGTGTCTCCAGTATTCGCTCCTAAATTCTTTTTTCTCTCTACTTAGTTTAATAATCCAAAATTTTAATAGTGCTTGGCCTTTAGCATATAGTACCCAATTTACTCACAGCAACAAAGGTCTGATATAGATACTACAGTATTATCCTGAGTTTAGAAGTGAGGAAATCCTACTTGATTTGCTTAAAAGCACACATTTAGCAAATGACAGAAGCAAAAACTGTAGCCCATAAAATAAAACTTTGTGTACTATCATGTTTCAAGGTTATATTCTCCTAAGGACTCATAATGCCATGTTTAGAACTCTCAGCATGATACTAATGAATTTGAATTTTTCTCTGCCCCGAAACACTCTCCACGTTCATTCCTTATCTCTAATTTTGGTTGTTTTCAAATAACTCCAATCAGAAAGTCACTGCAAGAATACAAAACACTACCTCTTAGGAATATAAACACAAACATAAAATTCCCAAAGAAATCACTAGCAGATCTCATTCAGCCACATACAGAGGGGATAATATACTGTGACTAACTAGTATTCATTCCAAGCATGCAAGGTTGGTTTAACATCCCCAAACCAATTCATTTAATATGACACATCAATGGAATAAAGGACAAAAATCGTATCATCACCTCCATAGATGAAGAACAAGCATCTGACAGAATTCAAGTCTTTCATGATAAGGAGTAGAAGGGAATTTCCTTAACTTGATAAGCAGCATCTACAAAACCCATGGTTAACTGCATACTTAATGTGAAAAGATTAAATGCTTTCCCCTAAAACCTGGAACAAGACAACAACATCTGCTCTTAGCACTTTAACTCATCATTGCAATGGAAGTTCTAGCTGAGGTGATCAGGGAAGGAAAATAAGTAAAAGATACCTACGTGGAAAGGAAGATGCAAAACTATTTCTAGTTATAAGTGATACAGTCCTGCTTATAAAAAAACCCCAAAGATCCCACTAAAAAACTATCAGACCTTATAAACAAGTTCAACAAGGCTTCTGGGTATAGCTGAGGTAAAATAAAGAAAAAGAAAAAGCTGAAAGAACCCCATTCTCAACAGCATCAAAAAGGATACAACACTTAGAACAAAATTTATAAAGTAAGGTAAAACTTGTATTCTGAAAACAACAAAACATTGTTTTCTAAATTAAACCTAATTGAAATTAAGACCTAATTGAAAGACAAATCATTAAGAAGAAACTATTATTCAAAGTGCTCTAACCTACACTACAATCCTTATCAAAATGCAAACTGAAAAAAAAAAATGCAAACTGATAAACTGATACCAAAACTGATGGAAAAAGGGTCCAAGAGTTGCCAAAACAGTCTTGAAAAGAATAACAGTAGAGGACTCACACTTCCTGCTTTCAAAATATAATGCAACACTACAGTAATAAAGATGATGTAGGTCTAGGAAAATGACGTAATAGTTCAATGGTCGAGGGTTCAGAAATAAACTACCGCATCTATCCACAAGAGGGTCAAGACAAATGAATGGGAGAGAAGTCTTTTCAACAAATGGTGATGGAGTAATTGGATGTCCACACACAAAAACACAAAGACAAAGGTCCTGTGTCTCACATACACAAAATGAATCGGAAACTGTGCTCTGAATGTAAGAGCTACAAACACAAAGCTCTTGAAAGAAAACACAGGAGTCAATCTTTGTGACCTTGGGATAGACAATGGCTGTTTAGATATGATACCAAAAGCAAAAACACAAGAATAAAAGTAGGGAAACTGGACTTAATCTACTTTTGTGCGGCAAAGGAGAGCAATGGAAAAATTTAAAAAGACAACTCACAGATTTGGAGAAAGTGTTTTCTTATCATGTATCTCCTAAATCTGTAACTCAACAGTAAAAATAACTCAACTGAAGAATGGGCAAACATTTGAACAGATGTTTCTCTAAATAAGTTATAAAATGGCCAACAAACACATGAAAAGATGCTCAACAGCATCAACTGTAGGGAGGACACAAATCAAAGTTACAACTTTATACCTACTAGGATGGCCAAATAAAAAAAGATAAGTAATAACAAGTGCTGGCGAGGTTATGGAGAAAATGGAATTCTCACAGACTGCTAGTGGGGATCCGAAGACACAGTTGTGATAAACAGTCTGGTAGTTCCTCAAAATATTAAACAGTTAGCACACACCACAATTCACTCCTACATAACTATCCAAGGTATTGAACATAATCACATAAAAACGTGTACACAGCGCTCAAAGAAGCATTATTCACAAGAGCCAAAGAAGAAAAACTACCCAATGTCCATTAACTGAGGCACAGATAAATAAAACACGGTGCCTCTGTGCAATAAGATATTACTTGGCCATGACAAGTGACTAAGTTTTAAAGTATGCGACAATATGACAGAACCTGGAAAACACTGTGGCAAGTAAAAGAAGCCAGAAACTTGGCTATGTATTCCATAAAATACATAATTCATTTTATATACATAGGATTTATATAAATAGAATTTATATAAAATATCCTAATAGGCATAACAGGCACATATATAGAGATAGAAACTAGATTAGTGCTTGCCTGGGGCTGAGGATTTTGGGGGGAAATGAATGCTAAGGGTTTAAGGAATTTGGGAAGGTTGTTAGTGAAAATTATTCTAACATTATGGTGAGGACCGCACAACTGTGTATATACCAAAAACTTGGTGAACTGTGTGGTGTGGGCCCTAACAGAGCTGCTATAAAGTACTTCTAAGCCAAAGAAAGTTCTCCTGTGCCGATCCTCCCCGCTCCATCAGGTGGGAAAAGCTGCAAGATCGAGCTCCTCTGTCTGTCTCCAAATCACTTCCTATGATGCAACTCTGAATGTCTGAAAGAGTTTGAAGAAATTTTCACTGCATTTTAATTAGAGTATGTATTTGTATTGCACTTAAGGAAAATTACTTTCTCATTTGATTTTACAACTACTCTGCTAGGAAGATGGAATTAGTAAGATAGATCGATATTAATACTTGTTATTTCCTTTCTATCTAATCTATAAATGTATATTATATGTATTATTTTTCAGCGAGGAAAGTGAAATTTAGAGAGACTGGGTGGCTTGCCTGAAGTCCCATGAGGATTAAGAGCCGAGTTCTGCTTGCGTGTGTGGAGACTGCAGTGAGATGTATGCTTGAATCTCTTTGCTTAGTGTTTTCTGGCTATATTTCTATTTTCAGAAAATTAATGTTATGTTAAAAAGAATCATCTTATTTTGGCTCAGAATTCTTCTATATACTTTTAGTCAATGGAGTTAATCTGAACTGGGACTGGAAGGACCTGTGCAGACAGACCACACATTCCCAAAACTATAACAGATGAAATGCTTGCATAAATCAAACTTTCACGCCATGGAGTGAAGCAAAACTAAATGCTAAAAAAGTCAAACAACCAGGCAAACTGAAAAGAAAAAATGTACAAACAAATCAATATCATTTAGTTGAGTTGTTCAACCCCATCCACCATCTGGTGAAGCCACAAATCCTGGAGTAAGATTGGAAGGGTAGAGGAGGGGAGATACCAGTTCTGCAGGAAGTGGCTGCAGGTGGACTGGTTTCCATGGTGGGTGTGCCGTGGTTTCACTAGCTAAAGTACAGGAGTCAGGGAGCAGAATTTAGAAAGGTGGAGAACCCCCTAAAAGCACAGCCTGAAAAGCCCAATTAATTCTTTAGGGTAAAAAAAAGTTCACAGCACAAAGAAACAGAAACTTATAAAGACTGTTCAAAAAAGTGCATGATAAAAAGGTTAACCATGATCTTTGAGGACTAATGGCCAATTACTTCTTCACCAGCTCAGCATAGATGCAAATCTCAGAACCGTGTAGAGGACGGACCACCAAAGGATGATTTAAGTGGATGTGGAACAGAAACGTATTATGAAGACGTAATTTACCACGCAATTTGTACTTCTCAATACAAAGACATATAAAAGTCTCCTTAGTGATTTCTGAATGTGTTTTGAGCCTGCCAATTAAATTTTATGCTTCTACATTCTGGAAATTCCTTCCCTCTTTAATATAAAAGGAGCCGTATAATACAGACTGTTAGTAAGCTAGTACCGCCTGCCAAATCATACTGATTGGCAGATGGAGATAGATACATCTTTTCAGCAAAGGCAAAGGCTACAATGTAGAACTTCACATCAAATGTGAAAGTAGAGGAGAATTCCAAATAGAGTTGCTTCTGTAGCGCAGGAAACACTTCACCCTTTTCCTCTGGTCGCACTTCACTGGGGGGCAGAGGTGTGAGGGAGGCTGAGCTGCATGGACAGAGGGAAATAAACCGACAGAAAGCCAGAGCCAAAGGAACGACAACCGCATGACAGATGGCAACCGTCTGACAATTTCTCTATAAGTCGACAGCAAACTGATGTAATTACAAAGCCAGTACAAGGGCTTCCGAGTTCTTGAAGGAGAGGCAAAACTTTTTCTGCTGGGTAAGGACGCATGTGCCAGAGTTTACCCAACAGTATTTCAGGATAAGAGAAAGAGAACGATACTTTACAAAGGACTGCAAAAGATCTCTCTTAAAAAGTAGCTTAATGAGCCCCTGGGAACACAAGAACGGTTCAATAAATTCATACTGAGCAGAATACTTCTCTCAAAGCATGAGGTTCTGTGCATTTCTGTTTAGACATCATGTGCTTTACCAGTGTTACTGAGCACAACTGTTCTACAGACGGGATTCTTAACAGGTATCTTTTGGACTAGCTTCCTTATTAAGAGGCTACATGCCTCAGTTTTCTAGGACACAATTGCATGAGAAGAAAGCTAATTTTAGGTATGGCTCTCCTGTAAATGATCAATGGTACATGTTAATGTCTGAGAGAAAATTTTGTTAGGGCCAGCCTAAGATCAGTGCCATTTTTTATGAAGCTTTTAAAAAGGTTTAAATAAAACTGGAACTAATTACTAGGTGAGCAGCATGACCTTAGAGAGACTTTTAGTTATTAGTGCTCATTTAAAAATCTGCATTTTAATACTGCTGTAAGAATCAGAGTGCTGCGGGGAAAACAAACATCTCAAATAGTGCAAAAACAGGCTAAAAACATCATGCTATTGGGCTCCTCTCTGAAGTTACCTCATGCCCACCAGAATGTGGCTGGTTGGTCCCGCTGTATGCAAGATTAACAATTCTCAAGTCCCTGCCCCATCCACACACTGTTCTGTGCACCTGGGAAGAGGAAGGAGATTGTTCCCTTTTATACCAACAAGTTCTTAGAGCTGGGAATGTGGATTGGCCTCAAAATACATCTGCCCCTGCTCTCTATATTGTTAAGTATTACATATTACAAGGTTAAAAATATCTCAGGTAGTTTCCACTAGTTGATACTTTATACATTAATAACAGATTAATCCATTTACTCACAAAAAACTGCAAAGAGAAGTATTTTTGTGAATGATGTTCTATCCATCTAGCTGAGGGTTTTCAAAAGTTGGGAGTCTCAAGCGCTGTGTAAATACTTTTAAATCTTACATTATCATTTTAATGCTTATCTTTTCAAAAATTAAGTAAGTGTATGGACCACTGGACGGCAGCTTAGGAACCGAGAGCTGCTGTGCAATCCCCCTGACTGCATGAGGGGCTGGGGACATTAGCATTCAGCCCACTCCGTCCCGGAACTGGGGCCCTTGGGTCTGTTCCATCCTGCGGGGAGTCCGGAAATGGAAACACAACTCCACGTACCTAGAGTCTAGCTGGGTCAACCTGACCTCTTGAAACTGCTCCTGCCAAGTGCTCTGTGTATTTTCCTTTTGCTTTCTGTTGGGAAGAAACCACCACAGGGTGTGGACTTCTGTATTTGTGATGGCGAAGCACCCGAAACCAGGACACCTCAACACGGTGCCTCCTTTTTAATCTCCATGTGAGAAGTCATTAGGGAGAGTGCTGCCCGGTCCAGCAGGCTTTTTGCCTCTGAAAACAAGAACTGTGTATCTGACCTGATTTCTTTTTTCACTTTGGCAGCAAATCTGATGTTTAACTCTGGCAACTACATAGAAACTTACAGCCTGCACACCTGTGGGCACACTCGTTGAATTTTCACTTTCAGCTTTTATGTACAACTCTATGGCTATACTTCTCTTTTCTGATTACTATTTTACCACTGTTATGAATCTATTCTCAGTGTAAAGTTGCCTCAAATCCTTGTGGCTAGGCAAGTCCATATATAACACGCAGACCTCTGCTTCTCTCAGTGATGATAATGGAGCAATGATATATAATATCATCTAATGGTGGTCTTACGACAAGTGCAAGAATTTTTCAGAACACTGGGTTAAAAAAAATTCACATACAAATGTGTGTTTATGAATGTCAAAAGTCAAGTAAAATATAGGCTTTGAGGCAGAATGTTTTTGAAAGTATTCTATAGAATTAAGAATCTTCATAGCATTATAATTTCTAATCTCTTCCATAACTGAATGACTAATATAGTAAGAGATATTATACAGCAGGAGAAGAAATAAAGCAAAGCTCATTCAGTAAGTTTATGGTGGCAAGAAAGAAGCAACCACTAGAAACACAGGAACCCTGCTTTGTGGTCTCAAAATTTTCTCATGGCAGATGGCAAATCTGATTTCCGGAAGTCAGGGCTCTATAAGCCATGGCTATAAAGGAGGGCAGGCACCGATGACTGATTCCAAGGTCACTGAGATAGGGCGCAGTTATTAGCTGTCCTAAACACGTCAGATCAGAGGGACATATAAAATTAACGTCCTGGTAAGAGAGGTATGACACTTGGGTTTCTAGGATCAAGAAACAAAGGAAGAAGAAAGGCATTCTTCCTCACCCAGAGAAAACAAGAGCAAATTTTACTACTCTAGGTCATACTGTCAGGAGGAAAATGATTCAGGGTTAAATGCAGGGCAGTAAAAGATGGAACATTCGCATGAAATAACCTTTCTATATGCTGGTCTTTAGCAGCCGCCTCTCCAGGAGCTATGATAGTCTGAATCAGGTCAGTCCCTCATAAAAGTTTGCAGCTCTGTGCAAGGTACAAAGAATGCTTATCTCCACAGGCCTAAGGTGAGGGGATAAAGACTCCTGTCCTCTAGCAGTTAACATTCTAGATTGAGAAAGACATCAGAGAATTTTCAGAGATGTGAATACTAGAAGGAAGCACATCCAGATGCCGGGGGCTCAGGGTTTTCTGTCTCAAATGGTAAAGAATTGTGATACCAGTGAAGTATTCACAGAAGACGTATTTACAGAGCATCAGGTACAATTAATTACCCTGCAGCACAACCAGAGAGAAGAGGTCTGTCTGTCCAGTGGCTGGTGTTTAACAGACAAGATGCCGCAGGTGCATGATGAAAGGGGTAGAAACAAGCAGCAAGAACAGATGCATGCACGTGAACTTGCCCTGCTCCCCGCCATGTACGCCTGTATTTTTATTTTTAAGGTCTGTACATCAGGACGCTCGACCTCCGTGCACTCATCTCCCACCACCATTGGACAGGAGAATCTGGAAGTGAACAGAAGGTGGCTAACAGAATAACAAAGACTACCTGCAGCCGAAGCACAACTCCAAGTGCTTCACATGTAACACCTGGTTTTAAATCTACCATTACTCACTTTGGTTTGCAGAGGTGGAACTGAGGTCCAAGGAGACCAAGAAACTGCCTCAGTTACACAACCAGTACACGGAGGAACCAATTTTCAAACCAAGGTCATCTAGTTCTAGTCTTTGTCCTGTCTTAACCAAAAAGCCATACCATGAATGTTCCTTCAGAGCGAATCCAAGCACACGTGTGACCACTGGACCGAGAATCTTAGGGTGCAGTCAGGAGAGACTCGACTTTAATGACACCTTTTCTTATGGGAAGAGGGAAAGGAACCTCCCGAAGGTTAAGTTCTTGAAGGCAGTGGTAAATATGGACATTTCTATATGCGTGATTTGGGTACTGGTTAAATAATGCTTTGCAGTTACTGACAGCTAACCTAATTCAGCTTTCTTCCCGCCCCCTTTGAAAATTCCGGTGGAGAAACATATTGTTGGTTCTCTTCCTGCCTAGTAGCTAAATTCAAAAAATTTCAAGTAATCAAAAAAACTAACATTATCGGTGGCCTGTACCCCCCCCAAAAAAAAAGCTAACATTAGCCGGGTGTGGCAGCACACGCCTTTAATCCCAGCACTCTGGAGGCTGAGGCAGGAGGATCACTGTGAGTTCGAGACCAGCCTGGGCTACATAGTGAGTTCCAGGTCAGTCTCAGCTACATAGTGAGACCCTGTCTCAAAAAAAAAAAACCAAAAACCAAAAACAAACAAACAAAAAAGCTACCTCTCTTAGGAAGGGTGAAAGGACAGACAGATTCTGTGCATGAAGGAATCTTATGACCAAAGAGTCCTTTTTCTGGACCACGTGGGTCAAGCAGGTCAATACCAATGGCCAGATACTGGTCAAAGATATTCTCCTGTAAGTAGGAAAACACTCAACTAGATAGGCAGCATCTTTTCTATTTCAAATTATGACAACTCCCATGTGGCTTTAATTACTTTGCCTCCTGACAGCAATGGACAGCTTACTGAGTGACACAGGAGGAATGTGGTAACGCATTCCATGATCATTTTTACTGAAATCCCAATCTGATATTCTGAAACCCAGAAGAGTATGATAGCTACGTGCAATCTACTGTATTTCCAACAGTCTCTTCCTGATGGGATGATGATTCCCATTCTAACATCCTCCACTACACTACAGGATCTTAAGCAAACCTCCTCTCTGAGTGACCATTAGGAAGTCTCTGAATATATTCTCTGCTCTGTCAAAGGCAGAAGCAGCTAGGTTGAACCCTCCCTCCTCCTCCTGCTGCTGCTGTAGCACAAATGTACACTCTCTGAGAACAAGAGAAACCCCACGTACCATTAACACATTCAAAGACATCACAGCACTTTCCGGGTGTCCCATCTCCACGAGAGACTATGCGGGGAGTGGATCCCACCTCACACACGGGGAAACCACATAAGCCAGAGAGACACTCGCATCTGAAACCAAAGAAAAGGGAAGGAAAACCCCATGAATAAAACAACATAGAAGTCGGGAGACCACAAACAAAGTGGCAATGGCAAAGTACCAGCTCTGTATGACACAGCCTTGTTTATCTAGTGTCCCTGGGAAAGGGCAAAGGGGGACGGGGAGGGGCCGGATGTGATGTGCTTTCCAAGTAACTACAGCTCATCTCCTTTACAGATAGATACCAGCTTTTAGCTTGAACCATTCTGGCAGACGGATCTCTAAGATGCATCACTTCATTTCTTATTTCATCAGAATGGCATTGAGCATAACAAACACTTTCAGTGTCAGCTGCCACAGGGCCACTTTCAGTGTATGTGTTACGCAATGAGTCAGTAATGCTCAAAGGGGCCGATGTGGAACGTGAGCCTCCTCTGTTAAGCAGCTCCACGCTGCAGCTCTGTACTACTGATGGGCAAGTGTTCCTCACAGGTTTTTCTTTCTTCAATGATTACCTGATTAGCTTTTCTGTCTTTTCTTTTCTATATGACTCTCTAGGAGCACCCTTATCTTGAGTGACATTTCACTTACAATTTTGTAGGACAGAAGAAAGAGACTGAGGGGCTGTTCATAACTGGAGGGCATAAGCTTTCATAAATGGACTCAGGGGCAGCTCTCCGGGAAGTGGAAAGTCTTAACTTTTTGGATCTTCTAGTCACCATATGTGCATTTACCTCCATACTCATGAATGTGGTGTTCAGCGGACTTCAGGCTGGCTCTCAACTCTGCTGAGAAGCCTGCCTAAGTGCACAAATCTGGTGAGTATGTGTAGGTAAAAATAAGAGGAGACCAGGGCTGGGGATTTAGCTCAGTGGTTCTGCCGTCTGCCTTACAAGCACAAAGACCTGAGTTCAAAAGAGGAGACCAAATGTCTTATTGGCTACAATGAAATAGGAAGCTGGAAGTGAGAAGCTCAGGGTAGATGGGAGTCAGCTATAAAGGTGATACAAAGAAGGGGTGCTACTGTTTTCAGACTCCCCTGGGGATGGAACTTCGGGTCAGAAATGGAGGTACCTCAGCAGAGGGAGCTGTCAGGTTGACAGGAATAAAAGGAAGTCATCCTAAAAGACATTCTGTCAGGAAGTGTGTTGGTATTCATGTACAGCGAGGGTCAAGACCAAGGGAGGTAACACTCCCAGCAGAGAAGAACACATTCATTGACTCATTCATTAATTTTTTTCCCCCTTATTTTAGGTGATTGGTTCCTTTTCCTTTGTTTTTTGGATCTTTAATAAGTTGAAATATGCTTGAGCTTTTCAAGTACCTCAGTAATCAAGAGTCAGAGATTTAATGACATGTATAGTTAATTGTGAAACTAGGAAAGGAACAAAGTTAAAATGTGCACCAAAGACCAAAGCTACTGGAAAGCTGTGAGTGGCTCCCTACCCCTATCCCTTTCAGCATTGTTGTGACGACTACACTGGATTTTTGGGAGAAGGGGGTGTTAGATGACTAAGGTTTTGCTGCAGTGATATTATTTCTTTTCTTTCTTTTTTTTTTTTTTGAGAGAGGGTCTCACTATGTAGTTGAGACTGACCTGGAACTCACTATGCAGTCCAGGCTGGTTTCGAACTCACAGTGATCCTCTTGCCTCAGCTTCCTGAGTGCTGGGATTACAGGCGTGTGTCACCATGCCCGGCCTGCAGTGATATTTCTGCCTATAGTTTAAAGTGAAGGTCTGCCTGTTTGATGTGAGCTGAGGTAGGGAACTCTCAATCCACAGTCTGTACTCCTGCGGGACAATCATCTTCTAGGGCTGAGTAACAGCCCGGATCTCAGGGACTGGGTATCCCAAACTCTTTCATGCTTATGCACCTAGCTACTGCCATTTTAAGCACATAATCACATTACTGTGATATTTCATCAGCACAGCACTGTTTCCATTTACTGCACTGGAAATTCTGTACAACTTACTCTTAAATTTATAGATGGATGGGGCTATTGTATATTGAGAAAGGCCACACCCTGATCCTAACATCTACATGTGGTTACCAGGTAAACATCTTACCAGAATAACTTTTTCTTACACATCTTCTCAAATTCTTGCCTGATGTGTTACAGGGAACCATTATTATTTGAACATCAAAGAGCATGCAGCCCCGCCCCCAACTTCAGATGTTGCCCTTTAATACTTCAGCAGTCTTTCCCCAACATGTATGTGCAGCACTTCTGTGCTAGGCTCTCCTCTGTGCTGCTGGAAATTGTGCCCCTGAAGATCATGACTAAGTCTGCCCTGCATCTGACTCATTTCCCAACACAGATATACCCCTATTATCTTCCCAGAGACTCACAATAATACCTCGCGGAATATCTGCAGCTGCACACACTGCCTGTTAACCGACTTGGAAGAGCAGACCCTTTCACGTTGAATTGCCACTTCTGTATCTAGAATGACTGCAGAATAAAGAGCCAAGGATTTCTGCTAGCTGGCATGCTTCTGGCTCCTGTCCCCTTGTCTCTTTCTCCCTCTAAGCTCTCCGCATCTGTTCCCGTAAGCCTGAAATTAGCACCTTAATGAAGGAAAAACTTAGGAAGGAACCACAAAAGGTGAAAATTTGGGCTTACGCCAGTATCTCTTGCATAGCTATTTGTTAGGCTGAAACCGTAGAGTACCGCCATTTTTGCCGGTTGAAAATGGTCAAAGAGCAATTCATATAGTTCAACTGAGCTGAAATTATACAGGGTTTCCCATTCTCTGTGATTTCCATCAGAAGAGGAAATGCTGGAGGAGAACGACTGATGCATGCAAACTGCACCTTGTCTTCCTTACCTCTTTCTCTGTTTTTATGGTTTTCCTCTAATCTTCCCTTACTCTTTAGCCCAGCCCCTGGATAAGGAGCAAGCAAGAGAAAGGAGCGATCACATGGATTAAAGGCAGAAGATGCGAAGGAACACGGGGCAGCTGCTTAATTAGACGTCCCCCTCCACCCCTTCCCAGTTCCCACTCCGATCGGTCTCCCCCGGTCTGACCCATGTCAGACTCCTCACCAACAATCTTCCACCACTGCTCATTTCACTGAGCCACGTCTCAGCCTAGCGCTCAACACGCTGAAGGGCATGTACCTTTCTTCGGGAATTCCTCCCCCATTTTCCTTATGCTACAATCACTCCACTGCACGCGAGCCCTCTCCGCTGCATTTGCCCCGCTCGCCCTACCGGTGCCTGAAGTTTCCTGCTCCAGACCCCTCTCGGCTAGCTTGGAGATACTCTACCAGCTCCTTCTCTGAGCCCCCACACCACACAAGTCTGCAGGGCTTTCACTTTTCGTGGGGTGCAGTGCCCATCTGACCACAAGCTCTTTTCTGCAACTATCACTGTAGTAGGCATTATAGAAACCTCTCTTAAATGGAATGGAACCAGAGATGAAGGAAAGAGGGGTGAGACTAACGAAACAGTGAAGACACGAAGGAGGGGAACAGAGTGCTGAGACTCCACAGGACGAACTCCTGCAGGCCCCTCCAGGCAGTTAAGTGCATGACATTTTGTACAGAAGTGCTGAGGGCTTTAGAAACACGACCCCAGCAGCTGACTGGGATGGAATTCACATACGGTATCATCCACCCTTTTACAGGGTCATTCTACATTCACACGCTTGTGCGCCATCACCGATGCCTGATTTCAGAAAATTTTTATCACCTCAAAGAAAAATCCTCTACCCACTAGCAACCAACTTCTCCTCCCCTCTCCTAGCAACCACTATTCGATGTTGTCTCTGTGCACTTGCCTTTTCTGGACATAAACGGAATCGAACAGAATGAAGGCTAAGGGCTTCCTCAAACAAGCAACCTGTATTTGCAATGTGCAGAAAAATCAAGCCTCTAATGTTATTCTCAGTGTTAAGATAATGGTCAATCAAAGTACCACATTAATACATTTCTGCATAATGTAATCACAGCTGTAACCAGGTGGGACTCAGTTAAGATGTCTTTTCTCTTCTTCCTTTCCTGAAGTGGGTATTGGAATCAGCAAAGTGGGCATCCAAGTACCTGAGTGCAATGACAATGACCATTACTCGGCGACTGCCTAAGCCCTAGGAGGCACTCACCTCCCGGGAGGCTGGCTCCCCCTCTGGGTCTGCAGCTGGCGGGTAGTCAGGGCAGTCTCACTTTTTCCCTTTGCATCCCCTGCTTTGTCCCAGCCAGGCCAGGGGCCAAAGTAAGGTGTTTGTGCACAAGCTGGCCTGTTCCTCTGGGCGCCTAGTTCTACTGGGCACTCAAGGCATTTGCACTCTTGTAAGAGGGCAATCCGCCATTCACTGAATCCACCTGGTTCCCCATGACTCTGTGCCACAGCGTCAGATCCCCTCTTTTTTTCCTTTGCCTTTGCAGAGTCCCCAGTACCCTGAAGACCAACCCAACCTTCTAGGCTTTCTCTGGTTAGGCAACAGCAATAGCAGCAGCAGCAGCCAGCTTTCATTTTTTCTCTCTGTGGATCTTCAATACTACATACAGGTACCTAACTCTTGAATCTACCTGGGCACCATGCTAAATCAAAATCACACTGATTCTTCTGTGCATTCGTCTATTGGAGTGGGGGAATGGCTTGTCTCTTAAATAAAGAAAATGAGTGACAGAGATTCCAAACAAACGTCTGGAACCAGTTTTCACGGTTATTAAGTCAGAGGTTACAACATGCATAGTTTTTATATTATTTTAATTTTACACATTTCAGACTGAGAGCTTTAAATCCATGTTTTTCAGAGTACGTGGAAGGAAAGACCGCAGAATTTGTTTCCCACGCAGATGCTAGGGCACTATACCTGAGGGCTGTTTTTCTGTCAGTCTGGAGAGGAAGCGCAGACACTGCCCACATCATGACCTCTCCAGAGGAACCTGGACCCACTCTCTGAGAACTGTGCATCTAGATGTGCAGGGCCCAGGTCACCATAGCTTAAGGTGCAGTTAAACAAGTGTGAGTGCATTTTACATTTTAATGACAGCAATGCTTACTTGTCCTCAACCACTTTCAAGGA